AAATTTCCAGCGATTGGGGGGAAGCCCGCTATGCTCCCAGCCTAGGACCCGGCGAAGTCTTCAGCGCGCTGAGCGCCGCCAAGAGCCATGTGGCCATTCGGAAGCTGCGGCCGCTCTGTTTGTTGACGAAGGCGGCCATGGAGGACCTGACGCGAGGCGATTTGGGGGACATGTTTCACCCAAATGCTGGGAATCACCTGGATTGGAAGTCACTGATTCGTGTGGTAAACATGGTACACTATACTGATGAAAGGAATATGAATGTTAATGGATGTTAGTTCACCCATTGATTGTTTGTAATTGACTTTACCGCATTGGTAAGCCCAGCGCAGTTCACCCTTGTTTTTTTTTGGTAGGTTTTTTTCCCTCGTATCGCGAAATGGAAAAATGAAAAATTGGGAACCGTTTGACTTTTCAGCAGGGTCCCAGCATGGACAGATCCACGAGGAGTTTGAGGATGTGGCCATGGAAAGACCCAATGCAGTGGTGATCGGCACGGCCGGGGGCCCAAAACTTCACGGACTTGACCCCAATTTTCACATGTCCCACGTTCGGACATGAACGTGATGATGATGAGGATGAGGATAATGAGGATGACGATGATGAGGATGATGAGGAAGAAGAAGAAGAAGCAGGAGGAGGAGAAGGAGGAGGAGAAGGAGAAGGAGAAGGAAAAGGAGAAGGAGAAGGAGAAGAAGATGATGATTTCATTTTTTCTTGGACAAAGTCCCACCGCAGTTTCTACCCTCCTGATTGGTTGTCGTGTTGAAACGGGAGGCCCCAAATGCCTTGCTACGAAGCATTTCCCTATTAAAAATGGTTGTTTTCCATAGCTATGTTAGTTTACCGGAGGGTATTCCTGTCCTGGGGCCCATTTAGAATTTTAGAGGACTCTAAAAGCTGCGAAGGGTTTAAAACCAAAAGCCAGGCGCCGGCTGAGATGCACTACAAGCGCTTAACTGAAGCCATGAGGGTGCTTATGGATGAGGACCTGAAAACTTGCAGCCACAGCTCCCTATGATTTGGAAATATTAGGGAAGTGTATTCTAGGAAACACGGAAGAAATAGTCATAGTATATAATGACCTCCAAAACAGTTCGAATATATTTATTCTGTTTAATGTGGTTAGTTATAGGGAATGTCTAAACTTAGTTGGGGAAAGTGATGATTTAACATTAGATCTTGCGATACCCTATGTTTGGACAAACCGAAATACGTGGAAAGAACAGTTTAGGCATTGAAATAGTTCAAGAACGAATAACCAATATTAACCAATACCGTATTCCCAAACATTCAGCCATGGCACTGTTTGGGTCTTGCACTCCTTCATCAAGACAGCTGTTATTCGGCAAGAATTTCACCACAAGGAACGCCTGTGCGGCGATCTCAATCAACATGACAGAACATGACTCGTGCAATAGTGAGAATAGTGAAGTAAACCATCCCAGCAACTATAAGTATATTATCCACAATGGTTATATACTATATATATATACTATATATATATACTATCTATCTATATATATATATACTCAGTCATTATAGTTCTATATTCAGCTGCTATATATGAATAATGAGGTAAACCAACACCCTAAACAATCCCATAAACCATCCATTAGGGGGTCCTTTGAAACAATCCCAAACAAGGGCACAGCCAATGATATACCGCCATTCGGGACGGGGATGGTTTATTATTGGGCTTACCTCATTAGTAGATACATTTGTTTGTGTCTTTCCAAACGCAAGACGACAACCTGAAAGCCGGTTGGTGGTTTGAATTATATACTATTGATTTTTCCCCACATTTTGGTGTGGGGTTCTTGTTTTTGGTTGGGCACTGCCGCGCTTGCTCCTCCGCCTCCGCCTCCCGCCGCCTCCACACACGCAACTTGCTCACACACAACTTACTCACACACACAACTTACTCACACACAACTTGTCGATTATTATTGGCATCATTGTTTTTGAAACTTTGTCCCGGGAGGACAGCGAACTGATTGCGGACACTTGGCATTGCGATTTGCTTTGAGGGTGGTTTTGCCATTGTTGATGTGTGGGTGTGAAATCAGTTTTTGGGTACTGAGATGTATTGAGCAACTTCATGCATATGCATTTCTGTGTGCATATGTCATGTATATTATATGGATTATGGATAGGCAATTCTCGCTATATTTCCATCATATCAGGTGCACAAGTGTCATGAACATCGTATCATTGTATCTACCTGTAAATCCTCGTGCCCAAGGTGAACAAGGGCCGGTATTTCAAAGAGAACGGCGAGTTCCAACTGATGGCCGGACCCTTTGTGGCTGCCCTGGAGTATGCCACAGGCCGGGAATGGGAACCTGTGTTTGGGTGGAAACTGAGGCATTTGGATGTCTTTCAGGTTTCTTGCAGTGGCATCCACCAGTGGGTCAAGATGTTTAAACCTTGGGTCATAGAAATCGACCCTTTCAGAAAACTCAAAGGCATTTCAATCTGATCCCATTAACTCAAACCTTTCCATTTGTTGCGTCTCCTATGGCTAGGTAAATCTGCGAGGGTAGTTGGCAAACCGCCACTTGGCTGCTGATCATTTTGGGGAGGGGGATCAGGACAGCCATGGGGGATACAAGCAACAAACATAACAAGCAACACCCACGGCTTGCCAGCGCCCTGGATACCAATGGATCCAATGAGGATGGAGAGATCGCCAAGTTTTTTTTGGGAGACAGGGGGCCAGGAAGACGATTTCCCAGTGCACCAATAGCATGTTTTCATATGTTTTCTCAGTTGCATGTAAGTTTTCATGGGGGAAACCCATGCCCAAGTGCATTATCAATCCCATGATGCAGCCAAGACATAAGCCAAGCCTATCAAACCTCTACCAAGTTCAACCAGATACTGTAACGTCATGTAATGTCAACCCCAGATTAATTATCCATGGTTTATTATATAGCTTATGGGGGTACCCTCCAATTAGTGATTTCATATGATACTTAATTGGCACCCCCTCAATTAAAGAGCCGTTCGGGATTTTAAATCCAGGGTTGACATTCATGGTAAAGCAAGAATAAACAATCTCCAATTTTCCCGTTTTCATAATATCCATCAATCAATATTGTTGGGTGCTATAAACCATCAATATCCATCAATCCATCGCCACTGAGGAGTCCCGACTTCTTCCGGGCCGTAGCACATGATGCTGCTGGCCCTGATGTTTTGCCGGAGCAGGTGGTGATGATAGGAGCGGCCGTCGTGAAACTGGAGGATTTCGGATGATTTCAGTGGCATTTTTCACCAAAATGGAGGAGTTCACCAAGACAAAAACGAGAGACTTGAAGTAATGTGAAGTGCGTTTCAAGCAAAATGATGATACAAGTAGAAATAATGTGAAGTGTGTTCCACGGATCAAGTGCTAAGCCACCCGACATCCCGGGTTCCAGTCAATATCCAGACGCCTCCACGGCCAGGAGACGATGTGCGCGATGATATCCAGGGTGCGCTGATGGGAGCGGAGTTGAAACCAAGAGCGATATCTCAAGCATAATGGATGCACATTTATCCAGCAAAAATCATCAGATACGATGCACACAACAAATCAAACAAATAGCCTCTGGTAAACTAACAGTTTTCTGTTGAAAATGGCTATTTATACTGTAGTTGATTTACCCATTAAACATATTTAAAAAATGATGATTTTATGTGATTTTCCAGTTCGCAAACTGTTAGTTTACCAGAGGGTATCTCCAAGATATCTTGGACCGTTTGATGCCTCGATTCCATGGGTTCGACAGGCGCCATGGACGTGGGGATGCGCGCCATCTTGGTCAAAACAGGTCCGCGTCGTGGTGACGGCGAATGGTCACCGGGGAACGCATGGGATTTGTTTGAACATTGGGATATGATTTTACCACGACGGGAGATTTTTTTTAGATTTACCCTCTGGTAAACTAACATAACTATGGAAAATCACAATTTTTAATGGGAAAATCCACTATAAATGGTCATTTTCAATAGCTACGTTAAATTACCGGAGGGTATATCATCTATCCAGTATCATATACCATCTAGTGGATAGTTATATCATCTATTCCATTCCATTGATATATACCCTCTGGTTATTTAACATAGCCATGGGACATGGCCCATAGAAATAGATGGTTTACCTATTAATTTCATGGTGATTTTCCATGGCTATGTTAAATAACCAGATAGTACCATTTTCATGGGAATGTCATGGAATATTTCACTCTCCAACTTGTTAAAAGGGGACTGAGGATTTCACATAAAGTACCGGTAGTTTTTCAGATAGCAATGGACAATCACGATTAAAAAATAGGTACCCTCTGGTAAACTAACATAACTATGGAAAACCACCTTTTTGTAATGGGAAAACTCACTATAAATGACCATTTTCAATAGCTATGTTAGTTTACCAGAGGGTAAATCATCTATGAACGGGCCATTTTCCACAGCACCATCCAACCGCCAGCACCATCCAAAAAAGCCAATCATATCACCATCGACAGGTCCATTCCTGCACAAAAAACCCTTGATTGAGATTGCATGGCATACCCTCTGGCAATTCACGGTCGCTTCGCGACGAAAACCGCCCGCACCAAGTGTAATGGATTCGGGAAGTCTAAGGAGTTAGCTCCGTATGAGGCTATCTTGGCCCCATATGAGGGTATGTTGGCCCCATTTGAGGCTATGTTGGCCCCATGTGAGCCTATCTTAGGCTCATGTTGGGCCTATGTTGGGCCTATCTTGACCCATTTTTGGCCTGTATTGGCCCAGATCAAGAATTTTGACCCCTTTTGAAAAACATGCAAAAACATAGGATTCTAGAGCAAAAATGCCCCCCCCCAAGCTAAAGCTTATTAGCTATAATGCACTTGCTAACGGTTCACGCAGGCACACAAAAAACGCCTCGGCACCTTCGGTGCGGGCGGATTTAACATGGCTGTTGAAAATGGTCCATTTATTCATAGTTGATTGACCTATGAATTTCTTTCCATGGATCTTTCCATGGCAAACTGTTAGTTGATTGACCCATGGAATTATTTCCCATATAGTTGATGTGATCTTTTCATGGATTCATATAGTTGATTGACCTATTAATTTCATGGTGGATCTGATTTCATGGAAGGTAAAAGAGATGAAATCCTTCCGGAAAAAAATGGGCGAAATCCTTGGATGGCAGGGAAGTATCGTCCTGGAGACGAGGAGATCTGCACACCAGCCCCGCTAGCCGTGGTGGATTGTGCCTTCGAAAACGCCATTGGGAAACCGACGGGGTACCCCCAGTCATCATCCATTTATAGATGGAGTTTCCCTAAAAACCAACCAGCTATTGGGAGTAGCTCCATGGGGTTTCCCCCCATCATCATTTTGCGTAAACCATCCACAAAATGGGAGTAGCCCCATTTTGTGAAACTTCCATATGGGAAAAAACACGTGATACCGATCATTTTCCGCCTTTTTGGCCTATCCTGCGATGATTTACTGGACACATGCGGCTTACAGATTTACCCAAAAAGATGCGGAACAGGTTCAATTTATCACTACCATTTTGGTAGGATTTTACATTTCTATCTTTTTGATTCATTTCCCAATGGGATTTTCCACTACTACTTGAGGCATCTATAGGGAACAGTTATATTTTTTGGGAGTTCCTTAAGCATGTTTTTTTGGGAGTTCCTTAAGCAAGTACCCAAGAATTTTAGTAGAATTTTACATTTCATTTTTTTTGTTTGGATTACTATAGGTCCTATCGTTATTCCTTTCTTTGGAGTGAGAGGCCCCCAGCCCCAGGTTTAGCCGATGCAGTGACCTATCTGGAAGAGAGCGGCGTGGTGACCGAATGACTTCGGCAAAATGATGGGTTTATGGAGGGTTCTGCCCATTAGTGAACCGACAAAGCTGGCAAGTTTAGCACGTGCAAACTTGATATCACTACCTAAACCTTTCAGAGCCAGACAGGTTGGTGCCACCAGAAGCCAGTCCCATTTTTTTGGACCAAATTTTCCTGTCTCCCACTTACGGTGGTGTTGGTTCCCGTGCTTACTCTTGGAATCTCTTCCAAGAGTCAGCTGCTAAGCGGGATGGCATCCATCTCAGCCACATCTTCCGGGATGGATGCCTTAGGTTGAAGGTGATGGAATGCCATGTGGCGGCCATGAAATGTGGCGGCCATGTGCCATCAAGAAAATTTCCTGCCGCACGAAGTGCTGGCGGTGCCAGAGGTGAATGAGACCATAGGCAAAAACGCGAAAATCGCAGACCTAAATGGGATCCCCAGATGGAAAAGTCAAGCGCTACCAACATATATGATATATCTATGTATATATATATATATCTATATGTATATCTATATATATATATGTATGTAAACATAGCAGGGGTTGAATTTGATTTTCCATCTTCTTTTTGGGACTCAACAGCAAAATTCCCGTTAGCTGGGCAGCTTGTGGGAGTTTGGGATGTTCGCCTTGGTTCTTGGGATGATCGATGAAGTTCAAACTGCTTGGCAACTGGCATAGTCACACACACATATGTATATGTATATGTATATGTATATGTATATGTATATGTATATGTATATGTATATGTATATGTATATATCATCATCATCATCATCATCATCATCCTAAAGTAGATAGAATCTCCGGAATTTCACAAAAAAGGTCCGAAGATAGAATCCCAAAATGGCTCAAAAATCCGGGTCGATGATGGGGAAAAAAAAAACCGACCCTCTAGAATGATCACAAAAGCGGTCATTTAGCTTGTGATTTGATTGTTTGGGCCTTTGGAATGGCCACAAAAAGTTACTATTATGCTGGTGTATTAGGTTCTGGCATGCGAATTTCAACCCAAAATCTTCCAAATAAAATATCCCCACCCCAAAAAATTGCACTGTTGCTGTTGGTTCCCAGAAATATAGATCCTTTGGCAATGGTATTTTTGGTTCCGGGGATGCCTAAATCGTCAAACCCAATAAAGGAATGGGTGTGGGTCAAATTACCAACCACCAAAATTGATAGTGACCCATACCCACTCAGCAACCGTGTGCTCACCGGACCTCCTGGAGATTTTGGTTTTGGACATCGATCACAACCAGATACTTTAAAAGTAATCTATATAGAATTGGGTGTAATTAGGACAGAAGGTTTTGATCCATCCCCATATTCTTCCATATTCTATCTATGGTATCAACCACTGTGCTGGCCCTTCCCTACTGTATTCTGCTAACAATGGCAGGTTTCCAAGAACCAAAACATGTGTTATAGGTCCTTTGGCAATGGTATTTTTGGTTCCCGGGATGCCCAAATAGTCAAACCCAATAAAGGAATGGGTGTGGGTCCAAATGATCACCCCCACAAAGTTGTTAATTGATAATTGAAGATGTGCAATTTTGTAATTGAGTTGGGGCCCAAATTTGACCCATCCCCACTCAGCAGCCGTGTGCCCATCGCCCCCCCTGGAGATTTTGAATTTGGACATCCACTAGAACCATGAAAAGAGTGTTTTCTTAGAGGATGCTTGGAATTAAGCGTGTATTTGTGGTGCGCCCTGCCCCTTCCTCCACATCTACCCACCCAAAGTTCATTCTTGGAGCTGTTTGAAAAGAAACAACGAAAGGAAAATGGCATTAGAAAAGTAGGAATCCAAGATCTTACCATCCAAAGTTGAAATTGCAGGTTTTTGAAAAGAAACAACGAAAGGAAAATGGGATGAGAAAAGGAGGAATCCACGATCTTACCATTCAAAGTTCATTCTTGCAGGTTTCTGAACAGAAACCTGTGAAAGGAAAAGGAGATGAGAAAAGAAGGAATCCACGATCTTACCATTCAAAGTTCAGTCTTGCAGGTTTTTGAACAGAAAACTGTGAAAGGAACAGGTGATGAGAAAAGTATAGAAAAGTAGGAATCCAAGATCGACCATCCAAAGTTCATTTTTGCTAGTGCTGTGCTAGGACAGCTGCGCAAAACTATAGATAGAATATCCAATAGAACTATGAAAAGAGTGTTTTCTTAGAGGATGCTTGGAATTAAGCGTGTATTTGTGGTGCGCCCTGCCCCTTCCTCCACATCTACCCACCCAAAGTTCATTCTTGAAGCTGTTTAAAAAGAAACTTTAAAAGGAAAATGGCATTTGAAATGTAGGAACCCAACAACTTACCATCAGAAGTGGGAATTGCAGGTTTTCGAAAAGAAGCTTTGAAAGGAAAATGGGATGAGAAAAGAAGGAACCCAAGATCGACCATCCAAAGTTCAGTCTTCCTGGTTTTTGAAAAGAAAACTGTGAAAGGAACAGGTGATGAGAAAAGTAAAGAAAAGTAGGAATCCAAGATCGAGCATCCAAAGTTCTTTCTCCCCAGTGCTGTGCTAGGACAGCTGCGCAAAACTATAGATAGAATATCCAATAGAACTATCAAAAGAGTGATTTTTTTAAAGGATGCTTGGAATTAAGCGTGTATTTGTGGTGCGCCCTGCTCCTTCCTCCACATCTACCCACCCAAAGTTCATTCTTGGAGCTGTTTGAAAAGAAACTTTGAAAGGGAAAATGGCATTAGAAAAGCAGGAATCCAACAATTTACCATCAGAAGTGGGAATTGCAGGTTTTCGAAAAGAAGCTTTGAAAGGAAAATGGGATGAGAAAAGAAGGAACCCAAGATCGACCATCCAAAGTTCAGTCTTTCTGGTTTTTGAAAAGAAAACTGTGAAAGGAACAGGCGATGAGAAAAGTAAAGAAAAGTAGGAATCCAAGATCGAGCATCCAAAGTTCTTTCTCCCCAGTGCTGTGCTAGGACAGCTGCGCAAAACTATAGATAGAATATCCAATAGAACTATCAAAAGAGTGATTTTTTTAAAGGATGCTTGGAATTAAGCGTGTATTTGTGGTGCGCCCTACTCCTTCCTCCACATCTACCCACCCAAAGTTCATTCTTGGAGCTGTTTGAAAAGAAACTTTGAAAGGGAAAATGGCATTAGAAAAGCAGGAATCCAAGATCTTACCATCCAAAGTTGAAATTGCAGGTTTTTGAAAAGAAACAACGAAAGGAAAATGGGATGAGAAAAGAAGGAATCCACGATCTTACCATTCAAAGTTCAGTCTTGCAGGTTTTTGAATACAAAACTGTGAAAGGAAAAGGGGATGAGAAAAGTATAGACAAGTAGGAGTCCAAGATCGACCATCCAAAGTTCATTTTTGCTAGTGCTGTGCTAGGACAGCTGCGCAAAACTATAGATAGAATATCCTCTAGAGCGATGAAAAGACTGAATTTTTAAAGGATGCTTGGGATTAAGCATGTATTTGTGGTGCACCCTGCCCCCTTCCCTCCACATCTACCCATCTAAAGTTTATTCTTGGAGCTGTTGGAAAGGAAACATTAAAAGGAAAATGGCGTTAGAAAAGTAGGAATCCAAGATCTTACCATCCAAAGTTGAAACTGCAGGTTTTTGAAAGAAACAACGAAAGGAAAATGGGATGAGAAAAGGAGGAATCCAAGATCTTACCATTCAAAGTTCAGTCTTGCAGGTTTTTGAATAGAAAACTGTGAAAGGAAAAGGGGGTGAGAAAAGTATAGAAAAATAGGAATTCAAAATCGAGCATCCAAAGTTCTTCCTCCCCAGCGCTGTGCTAGGACAGCTGCGCAAAACTATAGATAGAATATCCAATAGAACTATGAAAAGAGTGTTTTCTTAGAGGATGCTTGGAATTAAGCGTGTATTTGTGGTGCGCCCTGCCCCTTCCTCCACATCTACCCACCCAAAGTTCATTCTTGGAGCTGTTTGAAAAGAAACTTGGAAAGGAAAATGGCATGAAAAAAAAATGGAATCCACGATCTTACCATCCAAAGTTCATATTTGAAGGTTTCTGAATGGAAAACTGTGAAAGGAAAAGGTCATGAGAAAAGCAGGAATCAAACTTTGAAAGGAACATGGCATGAGAAAAGTTGGAATCCACGATCTTACCACCCGAAGTTCATAACTGCAGGTTTGAATGGAAAACTGTGAAAGGAAAAGGAAATGAGAAAAGTAGGAATCTACGATCTTACTATCCAAAGTTCATGTTTGCAGCTGATTGAAAAGGAAACTTTGAAAGAAATCAGAAGGGTTTGAAAAGGAAAGGAAAAAACACATTTTGAGCATCCTGGAGTAGTTTTTGCAAATATTGTATCTAGGGGGTCCGAAGATATAGTCTAGTACTGGGGTTTAAAAAAACCTGGGTTTTTCAAAAAAAACCGTCTACGAAACTGGGTTCTATGTACTCCAGGATGATTATATATATATATACTATATTTACCAGCAAATTTCCAAACCATTTAGCCATCATTTAGCTACGTATCGATCTTACAACCCAGTTGTCCCACTTTCCAGGAGCTTCAAAGCTACCTGGGTGACTACCTGGGCTACGGGCAGCTGGAGATCAGGAGGGGTCAGATTCTGGATTCGGGCATATCAAGCCACAAAGAGATCGCAGAATAGGTTTACTTGGAATTCGGACTTGAGGATACGACTTATTTAATTTCATGCAGATTATGAAACTGAAGGCTAAGAAACTGAAGATGCTTACCAGAACGAGACCGACTCTTTTTCGATCCTCCGAAAAGCAGGGAGACTCTGAGTCATTGTTTCCTCTAACGTGGTAAGTCCATGACTAAACCTCCAGTATCCTCCAGTTATCAGGGGCCCTTTGGCCAGGGAGTTCTTCAATGAGCACAAGTCCGAGGTGAGAGACCTGTCGCAGTGGGACTGAGGCTCTGAGACCCTATGGATTCCTATGGATTCCTATGGATTCCTATGGATGATTCTAGGTGAATCTCCCATTTTTCTGTGGCTTAAATTCAGCGCTTGGAGGTTGGCAAGGTCGACTTGGCAGGACTTCAGCGAGGTGGGCAGGGCCTGATGAAGCTGGTGGCCTAAAGGATCAGTTGTATACTAGGTATGACAGTTCCTTGTCATCCATGAAGTTCTAGTACGCAGTTCACGCAGGTCCCGCAGTTCCCGCAGTTCCCGTTGTAAAACCATGGCCCCATGGCCTACGAAAAGATGAGAGAAAATGCAAGACGGCTGTGTGACTGAACTTGGGGCAACCCTCCAATAACCCCCATTGCGACTTGCGGATTTGGGGCATGCGTGGTATATACCCCATCTTTTTGTCCCAAGGCCATGTTCTGAGGATGCTAGTAACTTCCTTTGCAAGGTTTTTAGATAGGACATTGGGAGTTTCAAGCCCACACTTTCCAACTTGCAAAAAACTTTTTTCGAGTGTATATAACTGTATATATATATACATTTATTTATTTATTTATTTATACAATGATCATGCAATCTGGATATTGGTGTAGGGCCAGCTGAAAGTGGAGCCATGGATGCTGTGCCTTTTTCTCCACCGATCTGGCCGCAGGTTTCGCTCGCTGGGGCGACCAAGATCTGACTGAAGCTGGGGAAAATACGGTGGGAAGGAATAGAGTTTGCCGGAATAATCTTAGCATATCAGATGCCCAGTATCTCAGGGATTAGGTACGTCCCACCAGCTAAGATATTGCAGCTAAAAGCATAGGTTCCTGACCCCTTCCCAGCAATGGTTGGGGATTGGACTGGTATCATCGGTATCGTCTCAACAGCTTTAAGGTTTGAATCCCTACCTCATTGGCAAGCGCAATGGCTGCACCATCTGGCGCAAGCCCGGGGCTGTCTGCGCACCGGGTGCTCAGGTGAACATTGAGGACCGAGCGTTCCAGGTTTAAGGGTGTAGGATCTCCCATTGAAGCATTGTTTGGTGGGAAATTTTTGGAGAAAAACCACGAGCTAGCGAGGACTTGGTGGACTGCAAGGTCTACATCTGCGACAAGACGGAGCAAACCTTTGTGGACGAGTGTTTCTTGGGGTTCCACTTGGGGGCGATTGATCAAGGGATTTCGGGGGAGTAACGAAGATTGACCCAAGTTTTTGCAGCACAAAATGCCTGCGTCTCAGGATTCAGATTCTTTCCCCATGCCAAATTTGTGGATTTTCACTCGGAACGCGGAACTTAAGGATGAACCAGGGTGGTTTGAACATGTCTGAAGCCTCATCATGGATGCATTGCTGACACTGATTGCATCCAGGAATAACATACAGAGTTCCTGAGAAAAAGGTCCTTGGATCCAAATGTTAGGCACCTGGAAATCCCATCCTTGCTCCATAGAGAACCCAGGTTCCGGATGTGAGGTGCTGATTGGGCCCTGTGAGGGTGCGACCTTCGTGCGAGATTGCTGGGGGTCCCAAGGGGGGATGCTTTGCAGCAAGGCAGGAGTTCGTGGCCCCAAAGTCCAACTTTAAATCCTGGATGAAGTTAAAATCAATCTGAATTATGAATGCAAAATCAACTTGATGGATTCTGCTTGATTTTTTTGGGAGTCGCCTTAAAGGTTTTTCACTAGTGGAAAAGTGTAGCCTAATCTGGCTCGTATGCGTCCGGGCTCGGTGCCTTCGGTGCCTTCGGTGCCTTGTCATGGTTTATGGAGCTCCCCCCCCCACTCACACCTGAAACGAGGCAAAAATTGCACATTCTGGGTTGCGACCAGGTGCCTTGTCGCCTGCCGTGGTTGGGGTGTGGGGAGAAGTTCTGACCTTCCTGCTGGAAGCATAAAGAGGGAAACATGCAACAAGGCTTAGAACATCTTAGAATCCCAGAGGGGGGATAGCTTTAAAACATGTAGTTCAGATTTAACATGATTTGCTGGTCTTTTTCCACAGCTGCAAGACTGCCCCCGACCTGGAGGAACACTGACTTTGTTCAAATCGTGGGCCTTCCATAGCACCAGGCAACTTCGAACCCGCGGCTGCACGGTGTGGATCCCCAATGTGGATCCGGGGCTTCCCAAGCGACCTCATGTCCCCAAGAGCGCCGATGTTCCCCTTGTCCCCCTTAAGTCCTTCATGAGTCCTCTACAAAACCAGGAGCCGCACACTTTGGCAATCGTTCGCCCATTGTGCTTTGAGGGTTGAACCGTTTCAAACAAAGGCTGAACCGAAAACAATCAAACAAAGCCATGCTTTTTTGCCTTTATGCGTCCTACTTCAAGAAATAATTCTTCATCTACCTTGTAAAAGCCAAGTTGCTTCCATGGATGGTTGAGCTGCAAAAAACCTCTCCAATTTTTGGTGATCCAGGGCTGCAGCTTCTACCTCCACAGCCACACCGAGCCAATCATCGAGGCTTCCAAGGCCCTGGGTGGAGGATTACCCCCCGGAGAAAATCATCCCGTTAAAGTTAAGGAAAGAGAAAAAACTGGCCAAAAAGCTCATGTACCCGACCTGAATACCTTGTTTTTGTTGAGCATTTTTTTTCAATTTGTTGGGATTGGTTATTCCGAATAGACCTTGGAAGGAGCTGCGCTTTGCACCCTTTGCGGTCTGGGAGCCCCGAGAGACAGCTGGGTCTGGATTGGCATGTTATTATTAACGTACAGAAACGCCAAAAACCGTAGACAAAAAAATAGACCGTCGTCCCTTCCAGCACGAAGACCGGACCCCGGGCGATTTCCTGCGGGGCTGGCAGCGCGACATCAGTGCAGCTCAGGACTTGGACGAGCTCGTGGCGCTCCTTTCTGACCTCTCCCCTTCGGAGCGCACGCTTCTCCTATCCCAGGCTGGCACTTCCGCACCTTGCTGCAGCGCCGGCTCCGACCCCCCTTGAGCTGCGGCCCTTCCCGGTGTCGGTGTGGATTGGCGCTTGACCCTTACGGCGACCCGCACGCGCCACCACAGGCGTGCTCCGTGCACGTGCCGCGCCCATCGAACGTGCCGTCGCCCGCATCTGCCGCGAGGGCAGGGCCGTCACTCGTCAGCCCCCTCGGCCGCACCGGACAGGTACGACACGCCTCCGACGCGACCCCGCACGCCCTTCCCAGCGCAAGCGGGAACAAACCTATTCTTGCTCGCGCCGCTGCCACCTCGTTATCCTGGGGCCAAATAGGGGGTCATTGGGGCGACGAAGCTGCCGACTTCCTCCGCGCCTTGTTGCACACCCGCGCCCGCACTGCGCCGGCATTCCTTCGCTCGCGGGCAGTTCAGGCCTACGTGCATGGTTGGGCCGGCCTGCCTTGGCCGGGATTCTCCTCGAGCTCCTTGCCGCGGCCGCGACCGGCGTCGACGGGGAGCCCCTGCCGTTCGCCGCCCTGGCCGACGTCCGCTGGCACGCAAAGCCCGGACAGTCGCCTCCCGCGGTGAACGGCGCGGCTGTACATAGCCCTTCCCAGTGGCAAAGTCCATTGGCGCGTGCAAGACACAAAAAGAGTCTGCTCGGACCAAAAAAAATAGTGTTGAACTGCTTTTCTATCTTATTTTGGTCTATATGCTATAATTACTCTAACTTTTTCTCTGCATTTGAAGTTCTTTCACGTTCTTGTCCATATCTTTACGCATGTTTTAGTAGTTTTCGTGAACCGCGATATACAAAACTTTTCCGGTGAAAATTCACATCTCTGGCTGTGTCACTAGATCATACGTCATTGTGGATTCCAAATTTTCGGTTCATTTATTTAGTTAAGTTGTCATGACTTCTACTGTTGCTGGTATTTTGTGTGTCTACCCTGCAGTCAATCAAGATGTCGAAAACCCACGATGTGTAGATATGTGTAGATTATTTTCTTTCAGAAACCATCGGATTTCCATGTCTTTTTTGCCCAGGGCACCCTTTTCCCAAAAGTTAGCAGCTGTGGAAGCCGCCCATCACCGAGGCTTCGTACGCTGGCTTGGCAGACCATATGGCAGCAGCCAAGATGGATCCGGGTACCATGAAACCCCTGCTATGGATTTGGGGTATAGAAATTGGGCTTTATCGGTAGCGTGTGTGCTTGTGTATATACATATATATATATGTTCATATGTGCGTGCAAACACGCACGCGCACACACACACACATATATATATATATAACATACATACATACATACATACATACATGCATGCATGCATACATACATACATACATACATACATATTTACTTATTTGCTTACTTGCTTGCTTATTTATTTACATTTATAAATATATAGACACACATACACACATATATATATATGTCAACACATAAACTAAAAGATAAATAAAAATAGAAACATACATATAACCAAAATAAATTACAGTAAAAAAACACATCAATAAATAAATAAATACATACATGAATGAATAAATAAAAATAAATAAATAAATAAATATATATATATATATGCACACACACACATATATATACACACACATATATATATATATATATACAGAGCTACAAGTGATAGGCAGTTCCTGAGGCCCGTGAAGACACCAGCTTCGTTTTTCACACATTTTTCCTTCAAACATTTCAGTTTTCAGGCCTCACACAGGTTTTTCCGTGAATTTTCCATCTTTGAGGGCTAATTTTATTGGTGAATTTTCCGTTGCAGCTACTGTGCTCAGAGTGAATCGTCTTTGATTTCCCCAGCTCGTCGTATTTGGAACAAAAATGGCTCATCGCCTTGCGACCATCCAGCGACAGGCTCTGCCAAAGGGGGAGGCGGTCAGATTCTAAATTTGTCTGTGGAAAGCTAGCCTGGTACAATCTTTCAATGTGTTTTTAGTACAGGCATACAGATGTAGATCCATCCGTTTGTATATTATCATATCATATTGAAACATTATGAAAGTGGGATGTCCCACAATCATGTTGTTTGTCGCAGAGGGCCAGACTTCAACAGCCAGGAAAAACGAGCAAGGGAACAGCCCGACATGACATAATTGATCAAATGAATGCAGCCATACCCATATTTGGGGTTTTGCCGGAAAGTGGAGTAAATTCGCGACAGTGAATTCTAACAGCATAGGTAGTGCCAAACGCCACTCCCTGCCCCAATTCAGTCGGTTCTTCATGTTTGATTTCAATTTTCATTTCCATTTTTTTGGGGTATACCCTCTAGTAATTTAACATAGCTATTGAAAATAACAATTTATAGTGAAAATGGTGATTTTCCATAGTCTTTTGTATGTTTACCTGAGAGTACTAGTGGCAAACAATGGTCATTCCAAGGGAACATCCGTGGGATGTCAGGTCTTGGCCGGCGACGCGGCGGTCAGCGGCGGCGTGCTGCCATCGGCCGTGTCGGGCAATGAGGATGCCGAGTTCGCCCAGCGCGTGCAGGAGCCACTGCGCCGCTGCCGGGGTTGTCGTGGTATGATGATGGTGAGGATGATGAGGATGATTACCACGGTGAACATGATAATTGTGGAAAATATTTGCTGTAGCAGCTTCTTATGACTAGTAAGAATAGTGATGCAATGATGTGCAATTCTACTCAATAATAGAAATGCGAACAATATTAGCCATAGTTATGGTTACAATTACACATTATATAATAGTTATATTTTTTTTTGGTACAAACCACTAAGATAACGTTTAATCATGATGGCATTGTGGTTGTTGCGAGTGGTGACTAGGAGATGAAGACCTGGATGAGATCCTTGGGCAGAAAGCGAGGGAACGAATTTCCAGGGGAACCATGGAGGTTTTTTCCACCACACATGGAAGTTTTACCAAGAAAAATGAAGGTTCTACCGAGTTCTACCCAAAAAACCGGAGATAGAATGATGATGAAGGATGCTTATGCATCACATACTTTTTGATCGGTTGATGAGGAATCATCCCGCGCCTTAAACAACCAATAGGTCGTTGTTTGTAAACTGTATCCCAGTCACCTGGTCGGGTACCTCCATTTTCCCAAACGGCACGAGGCCGTTGGCCTTTGATCAAGAAACGAGCTGGGGATGCGGCTAGCGATCAGGAGCATTCTGACATTTCTATTCTAGAGAATCTAGAGATGAACATCACCAACCAGATGAAAGATGATATATATATATATATCCGTGATTCATCCTTGGCATAAAGAAATAGCTGGATGATCAGTATGTTATGTCCAGTTGGGGATGGATATGTCTCTGGTTCAAGCGGGTTTGTTCCATGTTTGTCCCAAAAGACCCAACAGTAAGGCCATTTTGGATAAAAATGCACCTAAATTGCACCTAGATAGATAAGTTGCTTCATACCTACCTGTTTTGTGGGGGATATAACTAATTATAGTAAATGTGGTTTATAAACCAGAAATGCCATCAGATTGTGGGGACCGTTCCGTTCACACCAGCTCCATCTCTAAGGCGGTGAGCGCTTCAAGCACACCACCCGACCCTACAAGGTGGAGGATGTGGTGAAGCTACAAGGTTCTCGGGGCTCATTTGATGGTTGGGAAGGGAGATTTAGCAACCTAATGCGCGCATTTTTTGGTATCAACAAAGATGAAACTCATGAGAAATCCTCCAACGTTAGGTCTTATAGTCACACTTTTCGGGTGAAATTGAGGATGGTGTTTAGCATGGGATTTGTCTCATGATTTGGGTTTAGTACGTCTTCTAGTTATCCCATGGATTCCGATGGAAAAATCGCGTGCTCATCATGGTGCCGACCTTGCCCAGGTACCTTTTCCCTGCAGTTCGCTGGGGCCAGGGTGTCTGCCCCTTGGCGCGTGCATTGATCCTGGAACACGAACCCCTGAAAAAAAAGGAATAGCAATGACTGGAATCATTTCCCTTGACTTGAACCTCACCAACTCAGACTACAAGATTCAGAATGCCCAATTGATTTCGCGGCCCATGACGACTAACCAGCTATATTTCCAGAAAAACATCTGAAACCAAGGAGAAACTCTACAAGATGATGCGCGAACACCAGGCCAAGGGCACCTGCTCCCACACCTTTGGCGCCCTGGACACCGTGCAGGTGAGGATTGTTTTTCTTTGTGCTCGTGATAGGTTGGCCTGGGGCCCTTGGGGTGAAGAGGATGCTCAAAAGTTCTAAGAAGCTACATATCATCACAGGCCTGTTTTGCAAATAGTTTTTGGCAGGTCCCAACCTCCAAAGATGGCGGTCACAGCCTTTAGCCGCCCTTCCCGGCCCAGTGCAGTTGGCAGGTGACCCAGATGGCCAAGTACCTCACCTCAGTCTACGTCAGCGGCTGGCAGTGTTCCTCCACCGCCTCCACCTCCAACGAGCCAGGACCCGATGTGGCGGACTACCCCTACGACACCGTGCCCAACAAGGCCTGGTGGAACGTGGATGTAAGGTGATCTTGGTACATCCCGAATGTTGCACCGGAGGGACATCATCGGTCCCAGCTGGCCCTCCAAACAACCAGGTGGATCAGCTCTTCCGCGCGCAGCTCTTCCACGACCGCAAGCAGTACGAGGAGCGCCGCCGTATGTCTCCGGAGGACCGCGCCAAGTCGGCTCCCGTGGACTATTTGATGCTGAGCTGCGCTGGGTTGTGGGTGGCGGGCCAGTGGGGGGCTTGGGGGATGGGACAGGTTTGAATTTGAATAAATTTGACAGGGAAACTATGGCCCCACAGTCTGATCGTAATTTCAAAGATGCCCCAAGTGCTTACAATACTTTTTTCACGACAGTTGCACGGCGATATCGCAGTGGTTTCTGGTGCCTGAGGAACCCCATCATTGCGGATGCTGACACTGGACATGGTGGCATCACTGCCACCATGAAGTGCCTGGGCAGCTGACTGGAGTATAGAAAAACCTAAGAGTGGGATGGTTGAGCAGTAGCAAAAAGGTGATGGCTTTGGATTTGTATCCGTTTTCCCACAGCCATAAATTTTGGGATAGAAACTTCCCAAGGTGAGTTAGAAACACGAACTAAGCATACTCTTCACAGCTAAAGCAGCGGGTTTGCATCATCTAAGCAGCCGAGGTTGGCGAAGATGTTCATTGAGAACGGCGCTGCGGGAATTCACATCGAGGTGCTGCCATGATAACCTCCATGAAGCATAGATGAAGCATATATGAAGCATATAGATATATCATGGAGCATATAGATATATCTAATATCTAGCTAGAATCTAGCATCATAAACCCTAGCTGCCCTAGCTATCGGAGTTGTAAACCAACTTAGCAAACCATGGGCACCGCCCTGCATGTCATGGCTGACTTCCAGCAAATTTCGTGCAGGATCAGAAGCCGGGCACCAAGAAGTGCGGACACATGGGTGCCCCGTTTGCACATGCGATGGTTGTGGAGCTTGGGTGTGTGAACGGCTGATTCATGATGAGGATGAACAACAAGGATGAAGGTGAGGATGAAGGTGTGATGATGATGATGATGATGATGATGAGGATGATGATGATGATGATGATGATGATGACGATGATGACGACGGCGATGATGATGATGACGATGGTGATGATGATGATTTTGATGATCATGAATAGCCTATATAGCTGCATGCAGCTTCCAGCTTTATGCTCCTTTGGAAGTTATGGGAGTGCCAGATTACCCGCCCAAAGGTCAGCAGTTTAGTATATAACTGGACATATCATTAGTGTACATTACATCTCCATGTTGACCGATTAACATTTCATTTAATTCTCCTTTGCGCGTTGAGTTATACAATTACATCCTACATTTCCACTTTTTATCGGATCTTACATTTCGCTTTTAAGTTGGCAGCATCAAGTTACACATCAGACATTTTATCAAACTTTCAGGTTTTGCCGTTTCCTTGAGCTCAACTTTCCTTTGACATTTGTGACTTAATTTTGTTTTGCATCTCAGACATGTCTAATGGCCTGCTGGAACCCACCACTTAGTTTGATGTTTTTCCCAGCTATAAATCTCTATTTTGATCAGGGGTTCTCCATATTTTCCCATATTTTCCCATATTTTCCTCATATTTTCAAACATCTTTGCGTATTTTCCACATTTCCATCTATGACTCTCCGATGATTCTCTACTGCTTCAGGTGGCAAGGTCTTGGTCTCTACCCAGGAGCACATCCAGCGCCTCATCGCCATCCGCTTGCAGGCCTTCTTCGGCCCGGCCGCAGGAGAGAGTAGAAATTTGCTTTCGGTGGAAAACACCAGGGCAAAACCCACTTTTCAAATTTTTCCCATAGGTTTATTCGACAAATCTTCTTTGACAATCTTCGACATTTCTAATTCTCTGACCGTCTCTGACCTACGATATTTGGGATTTTTTTTCGGATGACCAGTGATGACCAGATGAATCACTGGATCGCATCCTGATGGCGCTTCCAGGCCGATGTGCTGAACTCGCCTTTGGTCCTGGTGGCGCGCACCGATGCAGAGGCGGCCACCATGATCGACTCCAACATCGCCGCCCGGCGGGGAACAGGTCTTCCAGGTCAGGGTGGACACAAAATGGGAAAACCCCCAGAGATCTTTTTGGGGAATCAGCGATTCCTAACATTGTCAAAGCATGTCAAAGGATGTCATTTTGGTATTTTTGGTATTTTCTTGAATTTCTACATCACCACCACGTCAATGCTTGGGATTTATCCCAGTTTTTAATGTGGTAAACGTAAGGGTAGTGATATTGAATGATTTTGAAACCCTACTGTAGGAAAAAAGGGCACTTGGGGTTGATCTTTTTTATCCCAAACTGGGGATTCTTTTTTGGTTGCCAAAGTTAGGTGTGTAGAGCCAACTACCACTGGGATGTTCCTCTCAGGATCCCATCGACCATCCCCACATCAAGGGCATGACGGTGAAGGGTGTGGAGCCTTTGTTCGAGGCCGGGCGGCCGGGCCGGGGCCCAATTTGCAACGGCATGTTGTGATCGACCTGCGCGCAGATGTCTTGGGAGCAAGAAATGATGCAGATATTATTTGAAAGGACGTGGCTTTTTTCCCTCCCCCTGCAGCTACCCACTTGATATCATGACCTGAGAGTTGCTGGGGTAGGTGGATTAGAATGGATTAGATGATCACGATTATAGCAGTATTATAACCGCAGGAACCCCACTACCACTACCAGCAAATCAAGAGGTGATGCCTCTTCACCACATCTAATGTCAAGCTTCGATGATTTTTTCAACCGTTTCAATTCCAAATTTTGTCGACCTTCGACGGCTTTCGACGTTCATTTTCTGGGACCTGACTGCGCACTGCTGGCCCAGTAGCGAACTTCTCAGGCCATGCGCAAGGGCAGCGATAAGGACTGGGAACAGCGCGCAGGCTGCATGACCTTCCCTGAGGCCGTGTCCAAGGCTGGGTGTTGGCCACCGCCATCTTTACCATCCCCAAAATCATCATGAATGGATGGGATTCTTATCATCCCCAAATGCTAGGTTTACAGCATTGGTTTTAAGCCACATGAATGATATAATCCTTGATCTTGTTCAGTCAGGCATCTTCTTGTGGCCAATATCGTCAGAGGTATGTGCCCACATTGCTATGCGCGAGCTGGCAGAGAACAAGCTCATAACAGAGAGAAAAATCAAATCCAATTCCAAAATAGGATAGATATGGAGAAATTACTTTCCCATCATTCTTGGGGTTTCCTATAACGATCAGCTACTATCCCTCTAACTAAAAGTTCTTTCCATAGGAAAGACTTGTCTTCCAACACCCAGCTCACATTGTTGAGCAATTAGTTGGGGGATTTAACACAACTGTGGAAAATCACCATAGAAATAGTGAATTCTCCCATGAAAAATGGTGATTTTCCATAGTTATGTTAGTTTACCAGATGGTTGATTGGATTGGTTTAAGGGAAAATTTACAGGAAACCATAGATTGTCCCATTAAATATGGGGCTTTCCTGTAGATTTTCCCTTAAACCAATCCATTGAATGGTAAAATCTATGAAGTTCCCATTTTTTTGCCATTTCTGGTCAGGCCTTGAAGGCCAAGGGCAAGGACAGCAAGCAGTGGGAGAAGGCGCCCACGGGCGATGCGGGGAGGGTGGTTGTCCACCCATTTTCATTGTTGTCTTTTTAAACAAGACAATCATGTATATATAAATATATACATATTCATATTATATATAGGACACAATATATAACATATAATACAAGATAATACAATATAATACAATAATATATATATAATATATATATATATATGATATATCATATCCATATATTTATGTAGCCAGTATGTTTGGGATTCCATTTTTTTTGGATGGATGACCAGCACACAGTTGAGAACTAGTTTTCGACCATGGTGCAGATGATGCACCCATGAAATTGGTCGACCAAAAGAAGGTGACCACCTCAATGGGATCGAGGAATGCAAGGTGAGCCGTGGTTTTGAAAAGAAGCACGGGTGTTGTATATTTTTTTTATTACAGTTAAACCACTATATATATATATGTAAAACAGTCTTATATATGTATATTGTCATGTGTATATATATATATGGATAGCTAACTCAGTCTTAGAATATGTGTTATAACACATCATGCATTTATATACATATTACGTTTCTTGCTTCATGGCAGGACTCCCGCAAGATGTCCATCGACCAGATGAGGAGTTCATGCACTTTCATGTAGTTTCTTCGGCCATTCTTCGCAAAAAACCTCGGACGAACATTGACATCCATCCATAGAACCCCACAAAAATATACAAAAATCCATCTATGATTGGTTCGAAGCAAGATTTTCTGAGGGGGTTCCATCAATGATGGGCTGAACCCAACCATTGGTTCATTCGCCACGTCGCAACGTCGCAGGAAGGCCGCGGCTGACATGGGCTGCGACATCTTCTTCGACTGGGACTCCGCCCGCTCGGTGTCTGGGAAAGCGGAACGGGAGGTCATGGGAAAGCCAGATCTAATGGGGGTAAAGAATGCCATAAACCATCCCCAAAATTACCATTTTTATAGGTGGTATAATGTGATACAAACCATTCCCAAACCCAAATGAGTGGTTTATGACATTTGTTTTGATAGAATGGGAATAGAATGGGGACAGAATCAGGATATCATGGGAAAATGATGGGAAACTCAGATTCAATGGATGGGTTGATTTTTTTTTCTTCCGAAACCATGGTTTTGCCCAGTCAATCTCGGTGATTGTTGGGGGTTAGCCTGGGATGGGGGTAGTTCCAGTAATGATTCCATTAATGTGGGTAAACCCGATATAAAATACTGTAAACCATCCCCCAGTCATCACCCCAAAATTCTAACCATCCCCCAATGGTAGGCTTATTGTTGGGTTGCCCACATTGTGTGGAATTGATGACAGTCTTGAAGTCGTGTTGTGTTTTTGATTGGGCATGGTGACGTGACCGTCAGACTCACTGTGCCACTGATGCACGAATACCTGTTGAATACATTCAAGAGTCAAAGCATGTGTGGTATGTAGATAGCGTTGGCACAGAAATCCGCCAAGCACTCTCAGAATGAGGTCAGATGGTCAGTGCGTTCATTTTCTGCTGAACAATGGTCAGATTGGAGGACCCCTCCGGCCACTCGGAGGTGGAGGGCTACTACCGTATCAAGGGCTCGACGGAGTTCTGCATTGAGCGCGCCATTGCCTTCGCCCCTTACGCGGACAGCCATGGAGATCTGTCCATGGGTGGGTGATCGGACTGGGGATATCCCAAGACACAAGACATGGCATCCCAGCCTGCGGGGTTATAGCCAGTGGTAGTCCCCAAAGACTAAGAACTGAGCTAATTCTGGCAGAGGCAAGAGAAGAGGAGGTCTTTGGTTCAAAATAGGAAAATCCACTCAGTGATGATGCAGATTTGGATCAAATCATGGAGTGCTATGGCACAGATTTGCTCTCGCACCCTTGCAGTCTGAGTAACCATCAAGTGTGGGCTGTTGTTATGCTGTATCCTCATCACAAATTGGCAATATCCCAATCAGCACTTAAAGGGGCTATAGAGTGTTCTATTGTAACTATAGTATCTGGGCAGTATTTTGATGGGTCGAATCCAAGGCAGCAGCTTCAGGTCCTTCAGGTCCTTCAGGTCCTGTCCATCCCTGGAGGACTGCATTTGGATGGAGACTGGAAAGCCTATTCTGGGACAGGCCACGCAGTTCGCTCAGGAGCGATGACATGACCCTTGGGCCCTTGGGGAACACCTGGCGAATGCAGGGTGGATCGCCATGAAGGATCCCAGTTGAGTCATTGGCGTTTTATAACCAGGGAATCCCAGTGACATATGTTTTTTTTTCCTCATGTAAACCCCATCATGAACATCACCTTCAGCTAGCCTGACAGATTATTTTCTTGCACCCTATTGAACATGTCCTATCATATCCTAACCATCCCTAGTTCTGTTAGGCCCTAATATTGAATTCTACATGTCGTAAAGCCTCATGGTGGTTTCTTAAAAGGGGCCTTTGCGGGATGATTTCGCTGACCAGGAGGTGCGGGCAGCGGTGCCCCATCAGATGTTGGCCTACAACTTGAGCCCCTCCTTCAACTGGGACAGATGCTTGGCGCAGTTCCAGCTGGGCGGAAAAATGGGAGGTAAACAGGCATCAAAAGAAGCTTCGCTGAAGCATGAACACTGTTCGTTTAGCCATGGCTTCACATATTTAACATGATTCAAACCATTCCTAAACTCGAGCTGAAGAGTGTTAGCTGAGGCTGAATTTTGGGTTTGCTGTGCTGGGGAAAAAACCGACCAGGGGGTGAGAGAATATAGGGTTGGGTCAGGTGTCAAAACTTGCGGCGAACCAGCAGAACTTGGCAATTTTTGTCTTAAACCATCCAATTTTCAGGTACCGTGCAAGAAGGATCCCCCATCATAGATATTCATGTGTGTAACTAACTAACTAACTAACTAACTAGCTAGCTAGCTAGCTAACAAACAAACAAACAAACAAACAAACTAACAAACTAACTAACTAACTAAACAAATAAATCAATAGACAAATAAAAACACACACAAATATATATATATTCTACACACACCATACATATCCAATTTTTCCGGTATAAATTGGTCCAGATATCCACCTACATCATTCCTGGATGTCCAAGGTGCAGGCATGACGGATGCGCAGATGGAGTCCTTCATTTGGGACTTGGCGCCTTGGTGTCGAGAGGGATTGGTGGAGTCCATGTGAGCCCCTTCCCACTCCACAATTTTTTTCTGGCTGGGTCCAATTGAACATCATTGAACTTATCGAGATTTATCGGATTTAGAATAATTTATGGTAGTATGGATGATGATCATGGATGATCATTTCACAATTGAACATCATTGATAAGCTCACCAGGTCATCATTTCACAACTTGTATTCAAAACTGCTTGACCGCTTGACCTCGGAAAAAAATCGCTAGTTGGATGATTTTCCCAAGCAAAAAAGGCATCGATGCGACAGGGAAAATATCCGTGACCCAAGGCGAAGTTGGGCTTCTGCTGGCAGTTCATCACCTTGGCTGGCTTCCACTGCGATGCCCTCAGCATCGACCTCTTCGCCAAGGTGTGACGTTTTTAAAAAATGGCCAAAGGGCTATGGTTCAGGCTGGTTCGGTAAATGAGGCGTATACATTTATACACCTCATTTAGTTATAATTATGTCATTATGTCTGTTTTGCATTTTTTGATACTTCTTAGCGTGCTTGCAGTATGTAAATAGCAATTTGTTCCGAAGTGCCCCACTACTTTGGAGCCACCGGACAGCCAGCCAGGAGTATGCCACAAAGGGTGCCTACGCCTATGTTTCCATGATCCAACGCGAGGAGCGCAAGAACAAGGCCGCTGAATGGCATCCGAAGATCTATGGTATATGAACGGTATATGTTAATGTTAATGTTAATCTATGTATATGGTATATATATATGTATGTTAATGTTTAGCACATTGGTGTTTTTTAAACTGTTTTTCTTCCCTCGTTGTCTGTGCACTGGTCGGCTTGGACGATGGCAGGGGAAGATTTTACCCTGTTCATGCGTAATCTTTTCGCACTTGCTCGGCCGATTGATCAAGCGGGTGGCTGTATCTATATTCATAATGAGATAGATAGATCGAGAGATGGATAGATCGATAGATGATTATGTATGTGCATATTATACGCGCGCGCAGACATAGACACATACACACATACACAGATACACAGATACACACACACACATACATGCATCCATGCATCCATGCATCCATGCATCCATGCATCCATGCATCCATGCATCCATGCATCCATGCATCCATCCATGCATACATGCATACATGCATACATGCATGCTGCATACATGCATACATGCATACATGCATACATGCATACATGCATACATGCATACATGCATACATGCATACATGCATACATGCATACATGCATACATGCATACATGCATACATGCATACATGCATACATACATACATACATACATACAGACATACATACATACATACATACATACATACATACATACATACATACATACATACATACACACATACACACATACACACACATACACACATACACACATACACACATACACACATACACACACACATACACATACACACACACACACATACACACAGACATACACATACACATACACATACACACACATACACATACACACACATACACATACACATACACACATACACACACATACACAGACACATACACAGACACACACATACACAGACACACACACACATGCACACACATACATGCACACACATACACACACACATACACACACACATACACACATACACACATCACACATACATGCATGCATGCATGCATACCTACTTGCCTACTTGCCTACCTACCTACCTACCTACATACATACATACATATATATATATATACATAATGTTTATATATAGACATGCACGTAGATATATAATATATACAAGTATATATATATGTATATATTTACATTCATGCGTATATAAATATATAGATGTATATCAAACATTGATGTGTGTGTGTCTCAGCAAAGACGCACAAACAGTGCCGCATAGATATACACAGTGTCTCCATGCATCACAGGTTGAGACCTTGACCCATCAGAAGTGGATGCCTGGAAGAAAGGGCCCGGGCTGGCGTTGGGGGCATTCTATCAATGAATTGGTTAGACATTTCACGATTGAACCATGGTTTTGATGATAGAAGATATAAAGAGGTTCCCTGATTATTTTTTGATGATTCTATGCGCGAATTAGCCCGAAGCTTTGGGTTGAAAGCAGGTGGGACCCACGAACTTGCCAATTCCTTTGATTCTGACACGATTCAGAAAGGCTATAGAACTCCCGTGACATTCAGGGTCTTGGAGAATGAGATGCTTTTCTTTCAGCCAAACTTAGCACCTCTGGAAACGATACCGTTCGTTAAAGAAACAGTGAATAAATGTTGATTAATGTAAGGTAATTGAAACCCGAGAACCAGTTATACAACCATCCTAACAATAGTCAATGTTCCGCCTTTTAAATATAAAGAAAAGTGAAAATCACTATCAACACTATCACTATTTTCCCTATTGGGGATATTGATCATTATCGGGGTGGTTGAATCCTATTTTTTAGTAATAAATAGCCATCCCAACAAACCCAATAATGATCAATATCCGCGTGCTTAATTACATATATATATATATAATATTGCATATTGTAATTATTGATAATGATTATGTGTATATATATATATATATATGCGACAATGACCACTATTTCCAGAATAACTATATTAAACAACTAGAGTTGATAATAGCCGATGATTGCATACCCCATATCAATGACTATCCATTGATATCCCATTGATATCCATTCATAACGGGGCTTCCCCTGAGGAGTGGTTCGGAGATCGTGGACGAGATGGGCAATGTGGTCAGTGGCGGCCTCTCCTCCACAGGCGCACGTAAACATAGGCGCGTTATGTGGTAAACCGATAAACCTACCATTTGGGCCATTGGGGGATTGTTTATGCCACCCATTTATTGGTGATTTTGGCGATGGTTTATGGCATTGGGTTTGCCACATTGCATAGTCAATTTATTGTTGATTTGCCTGTTCCTAATGGTGATTTTCCATGGTTAGGCCAGTTTCAGAGGGTATCAAGTGGGTAAAACATGACTCAGGGACTGGCGGACCGGTACCCTCCGGTGTCATCAAACGTGGCTGGAACATTTCCAAACGAGATGCAGGTTTCTAGCTGGGAACGTCAGCTATAAATGGGGGATTCAAACGAGTGCCGCGTTGTACCGGAGGATAGGTCAAATGGACGAGTTTGGAGTCGCTGGCATTTTAGTGAAAGAGGGGAAACACATACACATGGAACCTCCAAAGTTTCCAGTCCTCCCGAAATGACCATTTCATGTTCCAGCCATTCAAGTTCCTCCTGGTGGAAAGGTGTCTTCCTATGGCATTTCATTCACTATATCGGTCCTGAGGCATCATGTCCGCTGGTGTCACGGAAAAACAATTCTGAGCGCAGAAAGCGCCGGCACGCAAAACACATGCTTTCGGCGCGGCTTGACAGTTTTCAACCTCTGCGCGGGGTTTAGTTCTTGACTACATGGCTGGATGCTTGTCACAAGTGGGTGCCACTTTTCCCATTGGAACTCAGCTGGTCAGCTAGTCAAGGCTGCCCAGGCTCGATTTGGGAGGCATCGGCCCCGATCCAAGTGGTACCTACCAAGACGGCGGCTCCAGGAAATGTAACGTTTGTGCTGCTGCGCGTGACGCTGGCATGCGCGTAGCAGCAGGCAGTACCAACTGCCGGCTACATCTTTACCAGCATTTTTTCCGTGTGGGCCCCTGGTTTCAGCATCTAATCTAATTTTTTATCACCTTGGTACTTCATTAAAGATAGCATAACGAGCATTCATAATCCCATAGTTCACCTTTAGCTATATAAACCAACCTATAGAGAAAAAAGTACAGCAGTGGCTTTTGCTGTTTAGCCCAAGGGTCACAGGCCCAACTCCCCACTTGGGAGCTTGGGCCCTAAAAATCTTACCGCGTGGCGGTGCACATGTCGTGCGTGCTGCCGTTGCGGGCCACGCCATTCTTCCCGTTGTATTCAGTTGAGGAGGCGTTCTGCACGCGGATGAATCAAACGTTTGAGTCCTTGCAGGCCTATGGCCTAACCTAGGATGTGAATTTCCTTCAACAAAAGCATGTCCAAGTACATGTAATGTACGGGAGGCAATCATGAGATCAAAGCTGTAGGCAAGTGCTTGAGAGAAGAGCAGGGTAGGACATTGTACGGCCCCTTGCCCACAACACTCAATTTTCAGGGAGTTTAGCCTCTGGTAAACTAACATAACTATGGAAAATCACCATTTTTGATGGGTAAATCCACTATAAATGGCCATTTTCAGCCCGCAATGGTGGCATCAACACGTGTGCCACGACTGCGCGCGCACCCGTGCGTGTGGGCCCCGCAACAGCCGTGCCAACGGCCCCCGTGGGGCGATGCAGAGAGCAACAGCGTGATGTCGTAGAAGAAAGTGCTGCAGGGTGAGAAGGAGCGCTTTACTCTATATATTATATATATATATAGAATGTACAATATATATATATATGTATATGTATATGTATGTATATATATATATGTATATATGTATATATATATGGGGGATAGTACGTGTCATATATAATAGCTAGGTCAGCAGATAAAGAAACAAGCGCGGATCATTAAAACAAAATAGATAAATAGACAATCGACGCATAAGACAATAGGAATATAAAAAACAGACAGACAGTGTTTCTCGGGGCATCCTCATGGGTTGACAGTCACGACAGAGATGGAGATAAATGGATGATTTTCAGTAGTTAAAGTAATGCACACACACACAGATGCCAACCCCCAAAAAATAATTCAGCGTGTTTCCAGACATATTTTCCAGGTTTCCAACTGCTCTATTTTTTTTGGTTGCGAAAAGCATTAAAACGATTTAAGACGTATCTCAAGTGTATGGGTCGAGTCTTTAGCCCTGAAGGCCGCAGGTGAAGGGGCCGTCTGAACCATGACTTTCTGGATGCCGAAGTGTGACTGGTTGTGTCAACATGGGATGACGGCAGGGACAATAATAAAGATGGGGGATATGAACTAATATTCAATGGTTGGGGTTTCCTGCAGATTTCGACTTCAACGACTTATTCTAGGAACTATGTATATATATATATATATAATGATATATATATATATATATATACATATACACACACATACATACATACATACCATACCATACCATACCTAACATTACATTACATTACATTACATTACATACATGCATACATGCATACATACATATATATATATATATATTCCGCAGTATTTGTTTCCACTGCCTCCGTGTTTGCAGCAATTTTTGCCCTACTTGGTGACGCCTGCGACGTGTTGATCACTTGCGACTGCCGCCATGGCATTCCGACTTGCGACCATTCAGCGTCAGGTGCCGTGCCGTGTGGCCAGGGGGGCTTCACATCTTAGGTTCAAAACCCCTGCTGACTATTTATGATTCTAGGGGGTTATACTACCCCAAATGTTTGGGATCATGATAATCACAATCTATTGTGAACACTGTTCATAAAGAGAGATGAAGAGACCAAGAGAAGGTTTAGACGGTTTGCTTGATTGGTTGATCTGGATTTGCGTCCAAAGATTTGTGCTGAACTGATCGCCCCACTTGGAACTGAGAAGCCTATGAACCGGTGCTTGTGCAATATGTTTCTTCACTTGAATTTGTTCAGGCCTTCCCAGCTCTGTCCCAATCCCCGGATAGCATTCTTGGTAGGGCCCTGGATCAACACTTTCACATACAAAAGCGTAGCCCTACCCCGCGTGAAACAAATCCTTGCCCAGATAACATACCTTTTCCGGTTTGATGGTCCGATGGCGATGGAGAGAGAGAGAGATTAACATTTGAAGGAAACTCCATGAGGTGGTGCCCCTCTAGTTATAGCTTGTTTTCTTTGACGTTAACTAGTTCGATATATCTACCATAAACCCTAGTTATTGGAGTTATGCTCACCAACTTAGCTAAGTATGGGGCATCAGCACCTTGCACCACTGGGGAAAAAACATGGTTTCCTGTGATTTTGGTCCCACCCAGTGAAGTCTAAGCCTCTTCCGGCAGATCTTGGCCGGCGACGCGGCGGTGAGTGGCGGTGTGCTGCCATCGGCCGTGTCAGGGAACGAGGATGCCGAGTTCGCCCAGCGCGTGCAGGAGACGCCGGCAGTGGCTGCAAGTCACCCCTGTTGGTTGGTGATGATGTAGGGGGTTAGACTACCCCATGGGTAAAACATGGTAAAACAATAATAAACCATCCCCCAAATCACCATAAATAGGTGGCATAAATCATTCCCAGTCATGGGTGGTTTATTCTTGTTTTACCCACATTATATTTTATCGATTCTGAGAATCCGGGCCCACTAGCCAGCACAACGGAATGACATCACTAGGGTTTCGAACAAGATAAAAATGTACACCCCAATTGGCCACTCTATACTGCGCCACAAGAAAATGGCTGGTTGGGAGGTCTTTGTATGGAATGGCCTGGAAATCCAACATGGATGGGTGATGATGGCAAATCAAAAGGAATATAAAAAGGTGATAAAGAATGAGATGTTATTTGTGCACTTTATGCCTCAGAACATGGGTACCAATTTGGAAGCCTGATTCTTTTTGAGGTACATAAGGGTAGCCAGTTGGTTGAAAAACTGGCTAACATCATTGTTTGGAGGTTATTTGGGCTTCCTTCTTGTGGTTTTTGATCATTTCTTTTGGTAAACTGTCTTGAGCTATTGCCTGACCGTCCCTGGTGCTGTCAGCTGCACCAGCGAATCATGAGATGGGAGGGTTTCCCTTTAACAAATCCCATTTAGTTTATGGGATAAAGCTGGAAGGTATCCATTCTCAGCACAAGCCTCTTGCGTTTTTTCATCTTTTTTCTGCGGTTGCGACAATCCCAGCTGAAGTAACACGGGTTTCCAGTTCAAAACATCTTGAGCCATTGCATTTTTTGCCACAAACGGCCGCCCAGGAGATGAAAACCTGGATGAGCACCCTGGCTGACATTAGCAAGAGTTTCCCTATGTTCGACAAACATCTGGGGTTTCCTGAAATGGGAATATCCCAAAATGGATGGTTTATAATGGAAAATCCTACTGAAAAATAGATGATTTGGGGCTATCCCCATCTGGGTGAGTGAAGTGCCCAGCCGTTCGGCTGGGAAGACAGGTGGCGAGCGCTTCAAGCATACCACCAGACCCTACAAGGTGGAAGATGTGGTGAAGCTGCAAGGCGACGGTGATGTGCCCGTGGTCCTGTGGAGAATTCTAGGATTGAAACCCTGATTGAAAGCCATGGTAAAATGGGGATGATCCATTTTAAGAAATACTGAACTTGAAACTTGGAGATCTCCCATTTTTCCGAACTAGACCTGTGCCTAAGTTTCTGCGTTCACATTGGCTATCTATTGCCCATATAATGCCCATAGATAATATCTCCCGTTAAGATGACGTCACAGGCACGTTTCCCTTGAGCTTCGCTGGTGCCAGAGTGTCTGTCCGGTCCCCGAGGGATATCTGGGGTGCGGAGAAGTCCACTGGCGCCGAGAGCAAGTCGTGGCGCCGTAAGATATACTGAGTGGGTGAAATGACCAGTTCATTATTCATTGTACTGATCCTGATATAGGTTCATCATCGTTCATCATTATTCAGAATATTCTTCATATTCATGTTCAAAGGTATCCAAAGGTAT